GCCCGCCCTCACCACTGTCTCCGAGTTCTGCTCTTCCCTCACTCACGTCTCGGAGTTTTCCTCTGCTCTCACTCACTGTCTCCGGCGTTTGTACCCCGCCCCTCACTCACCGTCTCTGAGTTTTGCTCCCGCTGTGCCTTCAGCAGACTCAGCGCACTGCCCTTCTTGTCCTGTCGCTCCTTGTTTTCCTCCATGGCCTTTTTGCGGTCGGTGGTGCGCTTGATTTCGGGCTCTTTGACCGCCTTAGGCGGAGGACGGCTCTCCGCTTCTTCTGCTGCTCGCGACGTTTGGCATTCTTCAGCTTACGCTCGATTTCGAACCTGACGGCGGGGCCGAGAGCGGTTACGAATAAATGATAAGAACGAGGATGCGACGGAATCGTTTGGACCGAGTCAATATGTGATAATATGCGCTAATGAAAAAGCTAGCTTAAGTGGTGGGATACATTGGCACACGTTTCTGCTGCTCGTTGAACAATCGATCCTCAATCTAACAATATCGTCCCTAAACTGACACACAGAACACCCAATCCCGCCTCTCGTTCCCCTGCATCTCTCACCTGGTCCTAGCCGCCTCGCGCTTCTCGAGTCGGTTGAAGATCTCCTGTTCTCGCTCCTTCTCGGTCATCTTCTCCATGCGCGCGCGGTCCTCCTCGTCACCCATCAGGTTTTCGTCGAGGCCGTCATCGAACTCGGCGTCCCCGTCCGAATCGGAGACCTCGCCTGCGGCACGCGGGGAGAATAATACGGGTCACGGGGCGACATAGTGTAGACTAGCAGTCCCAAGAGAGCAGGCAAGTGGTCGTCCGTTTTCCAGGACACAAACGCCCTGTGAAGCATACTAGGTCATCCGTTGAGGGAATCCGCCCCCGATCTCGGTCTCGCTCCAACTGGGCGCAGCTGGTCATAAACCCAGGCGGCAGCTTGATTCAGCCATACCGCGGGTTTATTCCGGCGATACCAATCATTCGGTTTGGTCGGACCGACATTGCGAATGCAGGTATTTTGACAACAATAATACAAGCAGAAAACGAACAACATCGACAAGATGAGGGTCATCACAGAATTATGTACTTTATGGAACTTAGATCAATTCAGCAGTTCCCATGGCTACATGCTCTACATTCGTTTAGTCACCCACCACCACCTTCCAACTCGTCTCCCCCGTCCACACTGCAGCATTCCATCTTACCATCCTACACTCTCCCGTACTGACCTTCCTCGGGCTCGGACTTGTTCTCCGGCTTCTCGCCCTCAGACTCATCGTCGGACTCTGAACCAGACCCGGAGCCGGAGCCGGAGCCGGAGCTGCGGCGCGCCGGAGCGCGGCGGCGCACCGTTTTCTTCTTCTTGCCGCCGGCGCCCCACTCGTCGTCGCTGTCGGAGGTGTCGGAATCGGCCGGGGCGGCGGCGGCCGCCGGTGGAGAGCCCTCATCGCGGCGCTGCTTCTTCTTGGCCAGCGAGAGCAGCTCCTGGGGATGCAGGGGTCAGAGGGTCAACAGAGGTCACCAGCGGTCAGTGGCAGCCACAACTCCTGGGGATGCAGGGGTCAGAGGGTCAACAGAGGTCACCAGTGGTCAGTAGACAGAGGGGCAGCCACAACTCCTGGGGATGCAGGGGTCAGAGGGTCATTGAACAGAGGGAAGAGAGAATCTCCTCAGGAAGATGAAGGTCAGCTGAGAGGTCAGTGGGCGGAGGGGCAAGCAGTTCCCGGGGATGGGAGAGGTCTGATCAGTAGTGGTAGCTGTAGCCTGTAGGAGTATCATACCAAATCAAATCAGTCAAAATATTTAACCTGGCATACTAGGATCGAGACTATCCTACACTGATCTCAAACCCTGTCTTGCTCACCGAGTCGAGGTCTGAGCCGCTGCCGCTGGCACTGTCATCACTGTCCTCACTCTCCGATATCAGCACCTTGTTCTTCCGCTTGGACATGATGATGATGCCAGCTAAGCAGCTGTGCTCCTGAACTGGCCACTAGTCTGATCAGCAATTAATAGTCATGTCAGAGCTGTGAAAAGTTGGGGCAACTGTTGTAAATGACAGTACGGGTTCCATTTGACAAGTTTGGAAGCACAGTCAGCTAGCAGCCAAATGACAAAAGCTGGCACTGGCAGCTGGGGCCTGGGCTATGAATGCAATACTTAAGTACAACCTATATAACATAGAGATATGTTCATAATTCAGCTTAAGTAGGTATGCAATGATCATCCATCCAGATTTCTTTTCATGTGTAACTAGGCACATAAATATGTCCTGCTGTCAGCAGTGTTGCATTGCAGGAGGCTAGGAGCCAGGAAAGCAGCTTCCTAGGCAGACCACATCAAATGCTGCCAATAATTGTTGCCTAAATTCCAGGGGAAGTGTGCATTTATGAGAAGTCAAGGCCATTTACTTTGTTGCTCCTTGAGGTTGCGAGCCATTCTGGTCTATCATGCACTGCGCAGCTACCTATTTCACACTTAGCCTTTAAAACATGGCAATGCTGACAAGATCTGGTTGGCATAGAGAGTAGAGACACTCAGCTGGTGCACTATGTATGTATGTATGTATGTATGTATTGACACCAAAAGCCTTCCACATATGGCGTGGCGATTACGGCTTAGATCCGAGTATAATGGGTAACAATGCTGGTGCATTACATGATTACTGAGGTGTTGTGAGGATTTTTTGTGGAGCAGTGTGGCCCCTAGCAATGCATTTTGTCAAACTGCTGTGCTGGTTTATCTTCTACCTAAAAAAAAACAATGTAAAGAGGCAACAATAGGGTCAGCCAGGAGCTATTTGCCTTTCCATTGCACTTTGCAGTTTGTCTTATCAAAAGCACGGCTAGGTAGCGATCTATATTTAGTACGGGAAATTATGCATCTTGTCTAGTATGAGCTGATGTGCCATGCCAACTTATATTCTGGTCAGTGTGTGCTGTTGTGTACTTGTCAACCTTTTTGTGTGGCTCATCAATACTGTCAATGTTACTGTGGTACCTAGGTAAGCAGTCCAGAATCAGATGGCACATGCGTCTTGCTGCAGTGTCTGCCAGCATCATAATTCTGATTCATGATCATTCTACTGCATCAAAATGTGTACTGATGACTTGAAAATTATTCTATAATTTAACGATCAACGATGTCCATCTTAAACATTCCAGTTGGGCAAACTAGGCGGTGGGAATCAAAATATGGAGGCATCAAAATATTGATTCTCTTTGACCATATATGGGCATACGTGCAGACCATCACAGGAACGTCAATTCTTCAGCAACCGGCTATAATTTCAAGATAGCTTCTTCACAAAATGAAGAACAACGTTGAAGCTACCCGCCAGGCACGAAACAATAGCCCTAACCTCTTTGGTTAGTTAAGGAAAGCGTCTTAAAAATAATCAAGATATTGATTCATCACGGCGGCTAATCCCGGCGAGAATCAATATTTTGATTCCGCAAACAGCTGGCTAATCATTATTTTGATTCTGAAATCAGCCGGTTTATCAATATATTGATTCTGCAAACTGACTTTCTGCAGGCGTACTTAACTCTTCAAATTGATTTATGGAATGTTTCTTGTGTGCAAATAATGCAAATTCAATAAATTCATGAAGATATTATCAGCACAGGATCGTGTAATTTTTTTCTAGACCTTATTCCCACGGTAGACCAGGGATTTTCAGCACTCGCCCTGGCTCCCTGCTCAAAGCTGCAAGCCTTCGAGGGAATGCGTGAAGGGAGCCGTGCTGACCTTTGTATAGGGGTTGTACTGAGTCGGAGCCGGAACCGAAGCCCGACCATTTTACTCGGAGCCGGAGCCGGAGCTGGAGCCGATTTTTTTCCTCCGGAGCCGAAGCCGTCTGACATTTTCACGGCCCCACATCCCTGCTTTGTAGTATTGATTTTGAGTAAAAAAAAGTTAACATATCGTCTTTCACGTGTTCATGAATGTGTTTCTACGCATCTGTATCCCGTCCCATTTCTGTGGAGTACAGTAAGAGATATTTCGCCGAACGATACACTCAGCCCGTTGCACAAATTGCACAATTTGAATGAAAATATGATACACGGATGTACTTGCAGTCGCAAATAATACGATGATATTCATAACACATTTCACAACGATCCCTGCAATTGCCACACATTTGCCATCACAAAGCCCTGTCGTTGATGCTCACATCCTATGCAAAGCAATACTCACTTTTAGGACACGTTTCTTATTCAATATGGCTACGTATTTGCAAAACATGCAGTTAATAATATTTGAAACAGACCTAACCAATAAGACATACCGTGGACAGGTAAGAAAAAACAAATAAACGTCTGGAGAATGACCTCAACGTCTCGATGTTGCCTAATTACTGAGAGCAATTTTCGGTTTCGAACCAAATACATGAAATAAATATAAACAAAATTTGTACAGATACACTCAATATAGGGTTTATGATTAGCACGGCTACCTAAAACATCAATCCTGTCAGGTTGAGCCACTTATGTCCACACCCAAAGCAGGTCGCTTTGGAACACCACAAGATCCCATAGTACCACCGAAAACGGTCACCAATTGGTCTACTGATCAGCATCTTCAGAACATTCTCGACCGAAAAGCTATCAGTCCTGTCTGTGTTTTGGTTCGCTTCATTTGGGCTTTGCGCACGTTTTTCTACTCCGGTTCTAGGGACGAGATAGCAGTCATCACGCGCTGCACCAGCTCGTTCTTTGACAGGTTGGTGACGCTGTCGTCATCCGGCAGGATAAACACGTGGCGCATTTCACCCTCGGCCCCGCCAGCCACATACACACTTCCTTACGTCATATTGTTTCTCGCCACGAGATCAAAGTTCAAAAGGTCGTGATATAGGTAGTCTCCGCCCAGCCCGAGTCAGGTACTCCACCGGTTGGTCGGGTGCGGCCAGGTCCGCGCAACGCCGCCCTACTTCGGTCGACGCTCTGGTTGACAAGGATGGCGTTGTCATACAGTTGCCTGTCGACTGAACAGCGATTCAAGACGCCATCCTTGACCCTCTGAAGCCGATCCCCGCAACGACCAGTGTTTGATCCTTGGTTGACCTGCAGCAAACAGTCAACAGAACACAATAATTAGGACATTTGTGGACAATATTAAGGAAACTATATGTGTCATTATTCTACTTGTTCAGCAACTATTAATTTTAGAATATATTCAATAAAAAATTACAGTGTCCCAAAATTGAGTTTTGTCTTGGGTGTCAGAGGGGAAAATTACCCACCAAAAAGAGGGGAGAGAGTGGAAAACTGCTGATTCGATTAGATCAAAAAGGAGTGAGAAATGACAAAAAGCATGCATTTTATTATAGGGTGTAGAATGTTTGATGCTAACTGGGCATCCACACAACTGTCTTTCTATAGGTAAAAAATCTATGTTTTCTTGGTTGGGACTTGGGAGTGGAAAATTGTTCTTAAAAATGGTGGTGAGAGTGGAAAATGAATTTCATTTGGATGTCGTTTCCCACCCAAATAGACAAATTTTGGGACATTGAAAAATTAAAGACTTAATGTCACTTAAATTTCCACTGAACGCCACCAGTTGCGCCAACAACTGTCATCTCATGCAGTTATATAAATTCTGCCAAAAAAGTAGATCTGAGGCCAGTTGTACCAACAGAAAAATAGGTGGCTGCTGGATTTTTTTTTTGGTCTAAAAGTTACTTCACATACAGAGCATGAACGGTACAGCCCTATCCGTTTACGTGCCCATCATGTTAACGCTCCATATGTGAAGCAGTCTTTAGGCAAAAAAATTCCAGCAGGCAGCTATTTGTGTTGATAAAACTGGCTTCTAAAATTAACTTTGGCATGGACAATCCTGAAAATTAACTATCCAGCATTCCCTGGACTGACGTACATTAGACACATAATTTTCTTGAAGATCACGCATAATGTAAATATGGCTTACACCATTCAGCAACTTGCTTTTGTTACACTTACAAATTAAAGTTGTAGCAACAATTGGGTGAGTGAGACACAAGCAGAGGCTAAAACATCCAAATTATGTAAAATACTGGACATGCACTGCCCCCATTTCATGAGTCCACCCAACAATTCTATCATGTGAGACAAAACATTAGGCTTCTTGTAACTAATTTATACCGTAACTTTTAAAGGACATCATGTTTCACTGAAATACTACACCTAAGACATCATTTGCAAAAAAATATAGCTTAAAAAGACAATAGAAGAGTGAGAAGGCGTCCCGCGCCGCTGACGTCGCTACCGCGCCATGTTCCTAAAACCATCTCTTAAAACGAGTTTTCGGTAAGAAACGTTAAGATCACATGCCTGAAATTGAAAAACACACTTCAAAGTATCTTAAAATATGATCCATTGTTACTTACACTTCAGAAAAGGTCCCTTAAACAAAATAAAACCGGGAGCACTACGTTGCATCCAAACACCCACGACGCCGGCGCGAAATGGCGGGAACCGGAAATCGTGGCTAGATACAAAGAAAAAGAATATTTCTTATAAATGAATTATACAACTTAATAACGCATTTTTTATTTTCTTTTAGACAAAATTATGAAAAAATTACAAAGGCTCGTCGTTGATGATAAACAGAGCAAGTTTTAACAGCACGTTTTTGTTGAATTATGGCGGCGAAAACTTTATGCCATTCGTAAAGGTACGCGCGACAAACGGCTGATAGCCATGCAGCGAAAAATTGAAGCGGGGAAGTTTTTTGTATTGATTTGTCGAAAAATCTCGCCGTCATGGGGGTTATTTCCGCCGTAACGGGTCGTCTGAAGGTGGGAATGTCCCAAATTGAATCAAAATATTGATTCTATGCCCATATATGGTCAAAGCTCCGCCCACTAGAATCAATATTTTGATGCCTCCATATTTTGATTCCCGCCGCCTAGTTTGCCCAACTGATTCTGCAGGAGCAAAATTCCATTCCTCCAGGTTCCATTCGGCATTGATATAAGTATCAGTATGGTCAAGGCAGTATATACCCTTTACCATATACCATATACCCAAGCATGGTATTGATGGGGATATGATAGAGGTCATATTTCTATAGAGCCTTGGGTCATATTGGCATGTATGGCATTTCTATGGCTCACAAGGCGGCATTTGTTAGCACAGGATAGCGATCAATCATTTAACACATTGGAATTCACGATTATAATATTTATATCTTGTGAAACCATCTTAAATTTAATTGAAGGACTTTTAAAAACCATTAATCACAACACATATACGTTGTCCCCGACCGCAAACTCAAACTTCAAGGCGAATGCTGCGCACACACGGCATGAAAGATGAACTCAGCGACTCAGCTGCATCTATTGAAAATTGACGTCATCAAGCAAGGCCAATTAAATACCAGAAAGTTGTTATGTAATTTATTGAGAATCATACTTTTCCATCAAAATCAAATCTTCTGAGACAGTATTCATTATAAAGCTTCGAAAAATTGATTTGGTCTTATTGGTGCTAAAGCTTCTTTGATTAAAAGTTTCAACAAGAAAGGAGGCACAGCTGAAAACTGTGACGTCATATATCAATTATATAACTGTATACATTTCACAAAAAGTAGCCTTGATTGAACTCACGTATCTCGTGCGCGCGCGTGCGAGAGAGTCAAGTTTGTTGTGCGCGTGGGGTTATTTTGGTTTATGGAGCTTGACTGATGAATATATTATTGGCTGAGGCTGTTTATTTATATTGCAGCAGCTGAATGCAGCACCTACCAGTATTCTGGCTGTAACGTGATCCTGATTGATCGTGTAATGCAGCTTCTCAACTTTTGAAGGTAAGTCAAAGTCAAAGTCAGTGTTTGCTTGAAGCCTTCACTGTTATTTTCTCTATGTATTTCTAATCTCTTTTTCATGATGTCTCATTTTTGTCTGATTGTATCTTTTTCACCAATGCAAAGACCAATCACATTTTGATTTGGCCAGACTGGACAAAATACACGTTATGCTGAATGTCTGCGTGCCTATTGCACTGAAAATTTCAGTGAACGACGGGCGTAACTTCGGATGGTAAAGGTACACAAAGGTACAGGTGTACAAAGGTACAGGTGTACAAAGGTACAGGGTGTCCGGAAATTATTTGCCCCTCCATCAGCTCGCCGCCATAATTTATAAACATAGAGCCTCCGGGTCATGGTTTATTTACCGATTTATCCCCTGAACTGTCCTACCCATTCCCTCATCCGCTTTGGCATTTCATAGATCAAGATGTCTAGAGTATCCGCGCTGATGTTCAGCCACACCTTTCATTGACTATTCCTGTAAAGGCCAATCAGCGAGTTTGGCTGTGCTGAGGATCTCGCCGCTGCATTAGTCGCCTATGCTAATGCATACCTACACTGACTCTGACTTAGGTCACATACACATAGGTCGCAAAAAGTGATTTTTCCGACCGGTCCATTGTAAGTCTAATGGGACATTTCCATATATCTTTTTCCATGTGATCCATTCAAATCGTGCACGGCTGTGCCGTCCTAGCCCGCGACCCGTTGGGAAGGGGGGGGGAGCAAAGGCCCCTCTGTGATGTTCGGAGATAACTCAGAAACGGCTGCGAATTTCGACTTGAAACTTTCAGTACCTACCTCTCCGGACATCAATTTTACACAACTCCTGAAAAGATTATGTCCCAGGTCATCTCAGGTCACGAGCTATAGAGGTCAAACTAAGGTCATGTTCGGCGATTTTTCGTCGAAAAAGCTGTTCACGGAGAAAAATCGCAGAAAATCAGGGTTTCAACTTAGCGACTCAAAAATCGGACCGTAGGTATAACAAAGCATGGCAAACAAAATGGCATCTTGAAATTTCCAACATATAAAAATATCTAGATCTAAGGATTTTCTAACTCAAAATTAAGATTTCTTAAGATATTTTTTTTTTAATTTTGGGAAATTTTCAAAAAACGGGAATATATGTTAGAGAATCCCTTACTGGCCTTACACATGCCAAAAATTAACAAAATATCTCTAAAACTGCCTGAGATATACCCATTTGAATGATTGAAAAAGTATCGATGATTCTTATGACGTCACAATATTTTCGGTAGGTATTTGTGCTTGAAATCAGTCAAGAGTAATTTTTATGATTCTTATCAACCTCTTGCTGACTGAGTATGATCCTTTACGTGACTAAAGTCACTTTTACGTAAAAAATTGATTATAGTTGTAAACCGGTACAATTTGACCTTATTTGACCTTTCTGTGACGTCATAGTTCCAAGAAAAATGGTCAAGGAGGTTTTTGTGTGGATGCATATATATCACATGTCTTCATAAAGACCCGAATACTCCCAATTTAGCATGCCTTTCCTTGCGATTCGCCAAAGTGTTTTCTGATTGGTCGAGGCTGACCCCTGTTGTGACGTCACAGGTCATCATCCACTCAGGCGACTATCCACAAGCCAGATCTATCATATACATCATATCCAGACTCATTTTGAAAACTTAGATTTCATTTTTATGACCGACTTCTCGTCATTGCAAATTGGACTGATTTGACCTTGTTTGACCTCCCTGTGACGTCACAGGTCAAATATCAAGGTCATCGATATCCTATCTTGTGCATCTCGATGAGCTCTTTCGATTGCCGTTTGAATTTTTCCGATCCGGCTATTGGTTCCGGAAATATGACGAGGGGTCCTTCCCCCCCCCCCCCCAAACGGATGTGGAACCTGCCAGACCTCAACGGGGCGCGGGCTAGGTTGAAGATGACTATCCATAAATACATTATCTACTCATGACCTTCCTTGAAGAGCTTCCACTGCTCTCCGGGCATTTCTTCATTCAGAGCCGGTGCCAGTGGCCTACGCCTGCCAGATAGTGATCACTGATCACTACCGGCTTGCTGCTTGAACCTGCAAGAGTCGAAGCTGTCCTGCTTGCTAGCCTTTGAGTAGTGTTCTGCGGTGTGTCCCGCCCTAGTGGGGCTATTAAATCGACATTACTGCCTTATATTTCTCTAGGTCGCTCAGTGAGATCATCCCTGTGGGCTGGGCAGCATCTCCTCTGCACCAATCGTCTCCTTCCTTTCTGGCTGTGCCGCGTGGCCCTGCCTCCGGAAGGCCCTGATTGGTCGAAAATTACGTCATTTTCCGTAGGATGTTTGTCGGCATTTCAGTGCACCAGGTGGTGGACGCCTTCCGGTATTTGGCCCCAAGTACGGGACACCACCTGCGACCTCGCGGACCATCCCGGTCCCCATGGCGGCAGGTGGTGACCGAGTTTCACCTCCCCTGTTTTTGTCTCGCATCCAGCTCTTTCTCTATTCCCTTTCTGTTGATGTGACTCGTACTGACGGTTTCGCTGATAAACGAGCTCGCCCTGCTGGCCTGGATGCTGTTTGCCTCCAGTTAGATCCATTGTCGAGGGGTCACCTGGTGCGGTATTTTGGGGTCGGGACTCGGGAGTTCTTTTCAGTTGGGCGGTCTCACTCGCAGACCAACAGATTTGGCGGCGATGAGAGGGGGTCGCAGTGAAAATAGGGTATACCAACCATTCCCACGGTTTCATCGCTCATCGACCTTTCCTTTGAAACTACAGATACGGCGCTCTGGCCGCAGCTGCGACTTGCCGGGGGTCCAGCTGCTCCTTGGGGGGGGGGGGGGGGCGTCATTGCCCGTGTCCGTCGGCCCTTTGTGGTGGCGATCTGGACCATTTAACTCCCTTTGACCTTTGTGATCAGCCGACCCGCGAGCATTCTTGACTACATAAGTTGCCTGTGGCTGACTTTGGTGCCGGGAACGTTTTATTTATATAATGTATCTGCTACCCAGTACCCACGTCCATTCCTTTAGACATGAGAGATTTCCGTTGCCTCCCGCTCATTGTTTTGGTTTTGTCGAACCTTGCGGTTTTATACTTATAGTCAACTTCAAAACGGTTTTCTGATATTGTTTTGCAATAGGTAACACCGTTAACCCGCGCACCGACGGGGGTCCGTGCCAACTTAGAACCGACGGGGGGGGGGGGTGACCCTGAGATCTCGAGAACGAAGCAAGGTAGCGACAAGCGGTAAACGGCATGGGGTACGTAGAGGTCGTTTTCAGGTCAGGTCAAAGATGACCTCACAGGGGTCAAAAGACTCAACATGGTGACGCTAGATACAAAGAGGATTTTCTCAAATATTTTTGGAAGTAGCCAAGCTAGGAAAAACTAATGGTACCATCGTGATCCTCTCGTCAATCCTCATCGATCATATATATGTTGACCTCGAAAGGTCAAGGTGAAAGGTTAACCTCAGGTCACGTGACCTCAAGGCCATCATGTTTATCATTTGATGCGCCTTGACGAGCTGAACACAATGAGACCATCCGCGCGGCTGTATCTCGTTCCTGTAAGGGGTTATTAGCAAAAAACCTTTGGTGACCCTTGATGACGTCACATGACCTTACAAGTTACAGTTACCCAAGAGCAAAAAAAGACCTTAAAGTAGTCAAGGTTGATCGTATATGAAATCATTCATGGTATATTGGGCCTTTCCGAAGCATTTTAGTATAAAAAAGCAGGGATTGATTTTTCTCTCATTGACTTATTATGGGGAGGTCAAGAAATTGATCTGACCTTAGGTCATCGATATAAAAATTCCGAGATATACAAATTGTAGCTACTAATGACCTCATTACATGCTGAGACTTTCAAAGGCCTCCGTCATCTACATACTGTAGCTCTGCCACGGTGACAAAGTTGCTAAAAAGTGTTTTGAAGTTGGGTCATTCAAAGTGACCTGTTGACCTGACCTTGAAAAGGAGGAAGCTAAAACTTGCACACTATGTGCAAAAATTGATAAGGGAAAAGTCATGCCAAATTTCGCGGCGCTACGCACCGCGTTTTTTCCGCTATTCACGAAAGCCTCAGGGGGGGGGGGGACTGGGAGGGACGGATAACCGCTTCCCCCGTCGCGTCGGTGCGCGGGCTAAATCGTCAAAAAGAGTAAAAAATTGCTACCCTGCTCAAATGTGGAAAGAGAGATGCGTGTTCGTGACATGTTTGATGAGAGGGTTAAAGGCCGGGTCGTCATAATAGGCAGCGGGCTGAAACGGCGGCCGGTTTCACGTGCTGGGTCGGGCTCGGCCGACGTGTAACCCGCGAAGAGAAGATTTGTAGACGGATATATTTTCTTGTTGACGGTTATATTTTCTTGTAGACAGCGGAGCAGAGCGGAGAATAAGTTAAAGTTTAACTGCAGACAGTCAATGGGCCACTGGTCAGAAGAGTTGGATCTGCCGTATTCGCCATATTCG